GCCTAAGCGTTGATGCCACAACATGGATGAAGTTTCTAAGTCTCGTTTTCGTTTTCTCTTTGTTAGTGTCTGATTGATATTATATGACAACAAAGATTTGGAAAAATCATCATCTAGTTCTAATTTATAGAGACCACCATCCAGAAAACCATGACCAAACACTTGAGAATTGAAACTAATAGTAAGTCTGCCATGACCATGAGAAACATCAAAACCGTCTATGTCTAACTTTGGTCCTGATACTAAATTCCGAGTAATCTCAGGAATATATATAAGGTATCATAAAGTTTAATACATAAACCAGTTTTCATTATTAATTCTAAGGTTCCCACGGCTTCGACAGTTAGTTCTGTTCCATTCCCCAGCTTAAGTGTTCTTCGGGTTCTTTCCAGCTTCTGGATTGTAAGGAATCCCTGAAGTGAGTTGGTTACATGAACCATAGAACCAGAGTCAAACCACCATGTATTAGTTGGAACATTTAAATTAAAGGACTCAAGTATCATGTAAAGATGATTACCTTTCTTCGTCAGCCACTCCTTAAAATCTTGGCAGTCTTTTTGTCTATGTCCTTCCTTGCGGCAGAACTTGCAGTAAGACTTCCCTTTGGAGTTCTTTACCTCAAATTACTCCTCTTGTACTCAATGCCAATCCGCAGGACACTGCACCACCTCCTACTCCTAATGTACCTGGAAATGAAGACACCTCAAATGATCATCACTATCAAGACAATGCCGACAATGCTCAACCCGATAATTTGCTCAGGAGGTCATCTAGGTCTAAAAGGCCCACTAACTTTCCGCTGCGCAGCTCTGATACCACATGTTGATCAATTCTTAAACATAATATATAAATTAGGGATTTAATCATGTATACCTGATAATCCTGTAAACGCAATTAGGGATGAGGCCATGATTCTCACACAGATCGAGTTCCCTTTTAGGGTGTATTGTTATGATGGCTAAGGCGAGGGCGAGACTCACGAGAATAGAGAGGCAGAGAAGAGGCGTAAGATTGGTGTGTTCTGATCTCTGCCTAATGACCTCTATATATACACCCAAGGGGAAACCCTAATTAGGTCGTAAGGGTAATTACGTCCATCGAATAATTACCAAATAAATACGTAGGGTATTTATTAGGTCAATGATCAATTAATTAGATAAATGATAACTCAGGCCACATAATAAAATCGTGTCCAACAAATTTGCAATAATGTTTTTTAAAGATTTGATGTACCATTATTTCTTGTATACCAAAGACAACTTATGTGGTATAGAAAGAGTGTACAATATATATTATACTATATTCAACTTTTTAAAATTTTTATTCCTGATATTTTTAACTTTTTTCAATTATTTATAACTATAAAATATTTTCAAACTCAATCCAATATATTCAAACAAATTTTAGTTTCGTTTATAATGATTTAAGTTTTTTTGAATCATTGTTCAAATTAAGAAACAATTTTTAATTTAAATAAAATGGATTGAGTTAGGAAAAATAAGATAAATGCTTGAAACTGAAAAAATTAGAAACAATGTGAAGAAAATAATAAGAGGGAAAATATTCTGTATATTGAATTGTTCTGCTAAGTACAAGGAGTTTCTCCTTTATTTATAGGAGAGGATAAAGACCAAAACACAAAAGGAATTCTATTCCTACAAGGAAACAAATCACTAAATATGAACAAGGAAACAAATCAAGAGCAATCCCACTTAGAATGGGATTTGCTCTCCTTCTTGCCGTGTGGTCCAAGGAGCACCGC